CAGTCCATCAGGGGGCACAAGGCAGGGGTACGCCCTGGACGGGATGCCAGTCCATCAGGGGGCACAAGGCAGGGGTACGCCCTGGACGGGATGCCAGTCCATCAGGGGGCACAAGGCAGGGGTACACCCTGAAAACGATTCAGACACACGTCAGTTCACATCAAAACAGCTGGATGCTTCTATTATCAGTTATGGTACCCAAAAAAATCTTACCCTTGATACCCAATATAATGCTTAAAATAACAAACTAAGACACCATTTATTAATAAGCATAAAAGCATCATCTGAAGATGGCAATTCTTATTTCCACCACCAGAGGTCAATAGAGAGGTGAGGCCTAATGGTGAACAACAGAGTAAAAGCACCTCACCTTTCAAAACAGTTAAAATGGGCACAAAATACACCGATACATGCAGGTGCAGAAACGCAAAGTAATACGGCCGAACAAAGCCAAGGGGGAGAGCATACCAAGCGTCACATTGCATAACTTGATGTGATGAAGAGCAGCCCTGCCCCCTGCTGGTGGGATGGCAACAACTGCAGAAGCAGCTGTTTTTTTTATTGACAGTCCCCTTGTCCCTCCATTAAATACACATCTGCGTACACTGGTTTGTCAACGTTGGTCACACTGTCACATTCCTGGGGTAGCTCTTCACCAACCTGGGTACAACCTGGGATGGTGTTTAGGGTGTGGAATGCAAAGGACGGTACCTCAGCATTTTTTTAGACGCCTCTCGGACAGGACATGGGACGCGATGACGATGTCCTGGTGAGATGACACACCTCAGGGAGCCGGCATGGCGTTCCGGGTCGACAGGTGTCTGGGCTGCGCTCCGCAAAGCCTTTGTTGGATTATTTCTTTAGTAAGCCCACCCCAAGGGCCACCTGCCCACTCCACTGTCATTCAGGCTGTAAGGCTGGGCGGGGGGGCAGCTGACACATACAACAGCTGCCTCCCCCCCCCCGTCCTCCCGGCGGCACACAGCACGTTCCTGTTACTCTAGCAGGTGTGTGCGCACATGTCAAGAGGAAGTAGAGGATTGTGGGTATCGGAGAGCCCCCCCTCACGCCACTGACATCTGCCTGCCTATGAGAAAGGGGTGGGGCTACAGGAAGGGTGACCACTTCCACCTGTTCTTCATTCTGACACCCCTGCATATTATTGTGTTTTGCTTTTGTTTTGACAGTAACCGCAGACCGGACCCCCCCCATCCCCCCCCCCGGTGTCAAGCCTGAAACACCCACGCAGCTGTGACACGCTTGCCTGCGCAGAATTCATCTTTTTTTGCAATCCTCACCAAAGCACAGATTCACATGTTCGCTTATTCGGAAATGTTTTAATTTGGCACCAGTGTCTGTGTTCCTCGGAGAATGGAATCCCAACATAAAGCTACTGTCCTCTCAAAAATCGCTGTGTCACATGGTCTGGTTCACCGGCCTTGTGGCAAGTTTTTTCTTTGGAAAGAAAACATCCATGGCAGACATTTATACTGCATGTAATGTCATATGATAGACACACAACACGACGAAAAGGCAAAAGAGATATAACATATCCGGTATAATTATATATCAAATAATCAGCTTGCATTGTTTGCCTAAACATACCTTTATTTATCTGTATTATCTGGGTTTCTGGGTTTGTGGTCTTAATTTTTGTGGTAATGTAAGACCTCCCCTAGAGACAGCCCGATATTGCCACTTCACAGAGACACCCCACTTTCGAAACACCAAAATTAGCAGCTTATCTCAGGGCAGGATGGGGCAGAGATGAGCTGGACGTGGTGACTTCGGTCCCAAGAGCTCCCTGCCTTCCAGTGAGGGAGGGAGGTGGCGCAGTTGACGCAGGAACTGCACTGGAGGAATCTGGCCACACGCGAGTAGGATTAGCGCAGTGCTGTCGTAAATAAAAGAAATGAGCAAGACAAAAAACATGAATGAAGAAAATCTCTCAGTCACACTCATGTCGAACATGAGAGCAGCGGAAGAGACCATGTCACTGATATGACGGGGGGGCATGAACCTGCAAAATCAAAAGTAAATGGAGTTTCTTCCATGCTTGATCTTTCCCTGTGAACAATGTAGACAAAAGGACAAAAGTGACTGTATTTTCCATGTTTTGGAGTCACCCAACACTGGATCATTAAGTGGTGTATTTCCCCATTGTGTCCATACATTCTTTCTCGTTTTCTTATAATAATAATAATACACCTAATGAGAGGCGGCATTTGGAATCGCCTCACAGTGTCAGTCCACCTTGGTATTCTGAGCGTATGGTAACGCAGGACAGTGCAAAAATACATAAAAATACATATTTGGGGATAAAAATGGGGGAAAAAAACAGGAATAAACCAAGGCCATTAACATGCTTCACAAAACAGCCTTGAAAACACTTTAAAAAGCATTAATGTAAGCCAATTGACTTATTCCATATGATTCATGCTGACCCGGATAACCAGTTAGGAAGTGGATGGACGGACTTGCATCACAACGGCTACACTGAAAAAAGATTGCTTCATTATTATTGTGCAATGTTCTGCTGAGCTCATCACAGCACTACAAAACGACAGTTACGGAGGTGTCGGGCGGCCGTACAGACATAATCTCATCCTATCATATTACAACGCAGTTCTCACTACGGCGCTAGATGCTCGGAGAAAGCCACACTATTTCAGGCCAGCCCGGAACATTCTGGGTGGGGCAGAATGGCAGGCCGCAGAGCAAATACACGGCACCCCGGGGGCAATGGGCTCATTTATCGTATGAAGAAAAACAGTAAGAGAAACAAAACAACACACTGGTGATTTTTTTCTACATTCTATTAAAAACACACTTCATGTTGCAATATTTACCAGCTTATTTTCATACTGAGGTCAAAGAAGGTTGACTAAGATAAAGAAAAAAAGCACTAAAAACTAGAATGTTAAAAATGATGAAAATAAGCATTAAAATCTAGAGTATGCTTTGAAAATAGAAGATCTATTTAAAAAATAATTTAAAAAACAGAAAATGGAAAAAACAACTTTTGGAATTTTAAAATGCATGAAAAACATCTGACAAACAGTTAATCGCTGAAATATTGCTTTGTTGATGGTGTCTGAGCTGTCTAACATGTTTTTGGGATGGTGTCTGAGCTGTTTAACATGTTTTTGGGATGGTGTCTGAGCTGTTTAACATGTTTTTGGGATGGTGTCTGAGCTGTTTAACATGTTTTTGGGGTGCGGTATAAATATGTCTCCTGAATGGAACTCGTTCCTTACTGTACATGTTGCCTTCGGCCTTAAACTACCCAGCACTGATGCCTGGTATCACACTCATATAGGGTTTGATTAAAGAATGAATATCGCATTTATATACTGCTGTTCAAGACACCTAAAGCACTTCACAGAAGCAATGGGGAGGCACCAGGACCTGCAGGACCTGCAGGTAAGAAGGGAAAGCAGGTATCCTGAGGTCAGTAGGGCAGCAGGTAATGACAGCAGTCTGTAGAGGCAGGGAGGTCATTTGGTTGCAGTGAAAATGGTGGGATGAAGCCCACCTGGGGGGGTTGGGTTGAAGGGGATGCCCAGCACAGCGAGGGCTGTCTCCACCTACTATAAACAAAGAACAAGGGATCATCAGATGGATAAGAACTAAGCAAGAGTGACTAACAGCGAATGACAAGGAGCAGCACGGGGAGGTGGGGCCACTGGCCTTTCCCACAACCACCCATTAAAATATAGACAAGACCAATCCGCTGACAGTTCTCTTAAAATAACATTGTATTTATTTTTTGTATCTTTATTTCTGCAACAAACAGTTCAAGTATTACAAAAGTCCTGACGGTGTACAATAAACTTAAAAAGTTAACAGAAGCACGGCTTTACAAAACTGGGTAAAAAGCATTGGTGCGTGAAGTTTCGACACATTTTTCATTTTCAGTAATGTGATTGAGAACAACTAAGAATCAGAAAGACAGCCATACACTTCCAATTTAAATTTGCATCGTAAATAAATCTTAGCTATGAATTCAGTTTGACATTGTCCGTCATAAAAAGAGTTATTGACTTAATTTGACTGGAAGAGCACATGTACATTTTACCACAAGTACCCGTCACAATGTTGCCGTTTGAGCTTAACTTCAGATGAAGCCTTTATTTAACCACCACTCATTGCTGGCAAGATCATTATCAATGTGGTACATTGATCAAGCAAAATACTTCTAATATCTGCATATATTCAGACAGTTAAATGGATCAAAGCCATTTAGGGAGAAATTGTTCAAATAAATTAGTCTTCTTAAATAGCACTTTAATAATTACTACAAGGCACAATAATAAATAGATTAACGTTCAGCTTCACATTTCCTCTGTTTCTCCTTTTCCCCTGTTTTCTCTTGTTTTCTCCTGTTCACCCAGCGACAAACAGGTGGAACTTATACACAGGAAGGTGCCCCCCATGGCGAGAGCCCCCCCCCCCCAATCTTCTCCTGGGCACCATCTCAGGCATCTGCCTGGACCACAGCTGGAATACTGTAAGGGTGAGGAATGGGAGCCAGGCAGCTCCGTGTGTCACTGCCTGTCCCCAAAGGCCGAGAGCCGGACACTCCCCAGCCCACTGATGTACGTGTCTTTCTAGATCCAAATGCATCATTTGGTTCAGACATTCCTTACAAAGGGTCCTCACGTTCTCCTGAAGTCAAACTTTGCATAGATTAAGCACGAGAGTAGTTCAGTCAGTAGAAATGAACAGCAATGTTCATCCCTTCCTGTGTTGTTACGTTCGTTTATGAAATTCCCCTGATGCACTGGACAGTTTAAAAATAACTGGAAAATACCCGATAATCTGAACACACCGACAGCAGTAAAAGAGGATTTTCAGACATGATAAATATCAAACAGAGCCTGTCAACATAATCACCCATGTCTGCAGAGTAACTGTAAAAGCTCTCACGCCCAGTACATTCTAGCTACAGCCTTCCTTCCATTTCCCTATACAAATGAATAATTTATCATACAAAACAATGTCAGTAATAATGTAAAGGACTTATTTTTCATACTGTTTCCAAGTCCTTCCTGGGTCACTGCTGTGTATTTTAAAGATTCTCCTAGTCAACATGAGTCCCTCCAGACTGTCACAGTGTAACGCAGATGCCAGACCCTTCTGTCGCCCCCTGCTGGTCACCCAACAGCTACTGCATGTGGTCAGCCTGCAGCGTCTGGGGCTGGTACTGGCCGAACACCATGGAGGCCGGGCCTGGGGTGGCGGCAGCAGTGGCCAGGGCCTGCTGGGACGCGAACCCGTAACCGGCAGCGGTGAACCCAGCCGGTACAGGGGATGCGGCGTAGGGGTACTGTTCATACGCGGCTCCGGCTGCGGCGGCTGCGGCGGCTGCGGAGTACTGCGCATAGGCACCGGCGTAGTCCAGAAACGATGAGGTGGCGGTGGGCGTGGGCGTGGCCGCTGCCGCAGCCTGGACGTGCGGAATCACCACGCTGGGCTGCACCAAGGCCTGCGGGTAGACGTACTGAGCAGGCATCCTGCGGAACAAAGAGAGGCTGTCACAGCGGCCGGGTCTCTCCAAGGACACCAGCTGTCACCGACTCAAGCGGCTCTGTGGCTCCACAGGTACAGTATTGGGCTAACAATGTAAAGGTCATGGCTTTGAATCCCACATATCATATAGGTAGGGGTGGACCGGCCAGAATTTACCAAGCTGTCCCCCTTATGATAACAGGCAAGCACCCAAAATCACTACATTTACAGAGAAAACCCCCCAACAAATTTCACTGAGTAGCAATGCCGCCCCCCCCCTTCCCTCGACTGCGAATTGTTTTGGATGAAAGAGTCAGATACACAAGCAAAACTTAAAGATAAGCAGAAGAATCTGTGCTAGAAAACCAGACACAGGTCTTTAGTGCCTAAATGTTAGTAACCTTGAAATTCACTTATTCAGGATTAATGAGGAAACACATTTATAAAGAAAATGGTTAATGTATTTCCCAAACAGATATTTTCAGGAAATAAACACACATCCAACCAGTCGCCCCCATTTCATTTCCTCTCACACAATTCAATGTTCTCACTTTCAACATAACACCAAAGTGCCCCTGGACAAATCAGGAGGCTCCCTGGGGGGGCAGGCGGCGTGCCGGGGGAGTGAGGGCTGCCATTTTGGCAAGTCTCCCCTTCTTTTATTTACAGCAGCCCCCTTTACAGCTGTCTGGGGGGCCGGCAAGGGAGCACATGTTCGGGTTGTGAAGTCAACACTATCCCAGAGGCTGCTGCCTGCCACAGACACACACACACACAGACACACACAGACACACACACACACACACACACACACACACACACACA